GTTAGTCACAAACCTGGATTGCGTTTTACATCAGGCTTATGGCCAATTGTATTTCTGGTTTCATGATTAAATGCGACGGGATGTACTGTGGCTGGAACAGTGGGTCAAGTCTGCATTGTTTTAGGTTTTTTACGCAGAGACCGTTCGAATGTAAAATTGCATTAGGAACCAGCGGTAATCGGTGTTGGACATCAGTATGATTTTGTGTACACGTATAGCATATTATCGCATTCTAATTTGTGTGATTTCATATTGTGAATAGGTCACATTGACCTGGTTCTGTTGTTGTTGTTGTTTTTATTGTGTAATGTGGCTGGAAAGGCTGTGACATTCTTTCAAATATTCGGAGGTTAAGCAACTTGATATTAAGTTCGAAATACTCGCTGATAAAAATGTTTCATCTCGTCCTGTTTATTGACCTGGCATACTTGTCATTGAAATCTCGGTCTACAATGAGATAATCAATGAAACCTACTTGTTGGAGTCATCCGGCAGAGCAAATACCCTGATAGAGCGTAGGTGACGTCACTGGGCAGGTTCAAATCCAACCAAGCTCACTGGTGTTTCTACAGTTTCGTCAAAATCGTTAGTACAACGTTACTCATTAGGTGCATTTTTCCATGTTTGTAAGTGATGCCTTTGCAAATGTTTCATTTCATGTAGGAAATTCAAACAACATATTTCCATGAGCTACATTGCAACAGAGTAAGTGCTTCACTTTGTCACCACTAAATTAAGCGAAAGATATAATTTTCGGAAATAGAAGTATTACAAACCTTTGGTACTTAGAACAGTAAAATAGGCAAATGGATTTTCTAACACACCCAACGACTGAATGAAAACTCACAGATTTATACCAATGTGATGACTGTAGACAATTACAAAACATGTCGTTTTTTTATGGGATCAGAGTTCAATTACATATATTGCACAAAAGTTTTATGTGCAATCAAAAAGACGTTTCTACTGATTTCCTGTTCGTCTATCATATATTTTCACAGAAACGTCCCACCTTTATATGATCTGTAAAACAGCATAATTTACACAGCTGATCTCGCCTTAGACGTCCAGTGTATTCTAAGAAAAACCGGTCAGTTTCGATTCTATCTGGGGGATTACATATGCCTATCTCAGTTGTATGGGTGATACAAGTGTGAAAAGAACAGTACTGCCAGTGTGGCCCGTAGCTCAGCGGGCAGAGCGTAGGTGGTGTTCCCGTGTCGATTCAAATCCATATGCGGCTAATGAGCTTTTCACAGTTTCGACATAAGACTTCATTCTGCCATGCAATAATTTGAACCAAACCGTTTAAATTTGTTTCATTGCATGTGCGTGATCTGCGGGTTGATTAGGAAAGCACTCCTGGTGTGAATGTGCCAATTCATGCCTAGGTTGCGG